TAGGAGAACTCCTCGTAGGTCTCGTGGAGGTAGAGCTCAAGCCTGTTGATCAGGTTCCGGGGTAGGGCGATCTTAGTGGGCCCTCCGTGGTAGCAGACATGCCCCCTCCACGCCATAATCAAGTACTCCGGGATCATGGCCCGACATAGCATGGCGGCATACGGCCCCGGTTTCTGCATGCTTTCCCGCAGCATGCGTTCTCTCTGGGTGTCCGGGATCCTCAGGAGGGTGATGTCGCTCATGACGCCCTGCTTTGAATTAGGGAGGGGAATGTTAGTATTGGGACTGCTTTACAGCCACGCGGTGGAGGGAGAGGGGCAGCATACAGGGATCTTTCCCTGGGACAGCCGCGAGGGGGTGGGACAGGGGCAGAGTTGATGCTGTCCTGATTGCTGGCAGCAGAGACTGGCATTGCTTTCAATGTGAAAGGAGGCCAGTGCTACTGCTGGGGTTTTAAGCAGCCACAAGTCTGCGGCTTACCATTATTGCCCGCTCCAGAAGTTCAGGTCTCCAGCCACAGTTCTCTGAACAGTCCAAGACCTCCGCAAGTCCACAGGCACTGAAGGCGACGGCCGAAAATTCGACCTTGTCCTGAGTGCGCATGTGAGAGGTGCAGTGCATGGTCTTGTTCACAGAGAAAGACTAGGTTCTTTGTATACAATTTCATTTATCTGTCTCAGGAATTCACTCCCTTTTCACAATTCACACAGACACATCTGCGACTGTCTCCCAACCCAGCCTCTCAGCACACTCCCAGAGGCTAGCGCAGATTAGGCGGAGGAAGAAGAAGACGCGTGAAGACATGTTCTCAGAACTAATGGACTGCTCCCGAGCCCAGGCAGCCCAGCAGACACAGTGGAGGGAGAACTTGTCACAAATGCACCGAGCAGTCATGGAACGGGAGGAGAGGTGGCGTCAGGAGGACCAACAGGCTACTGAAAAGCTGCTTGGACTAATGAGGGAGCAAACGGACACGCTCCGGCGCCTTGTGGATGTTCTGCAAGACCGGAGGCAGGAGGACAGAGCCCCGCTGCAGTCTATCTGTAACCGCCCTCACCCGCCACCAAGTCCCACACCACCCTCACCCAAACTCCAAAGAAGGAGGGGCGGCAAGGGCCGTTAAAACTTTCAGTCAACCCCTGCAGACTGCTCTAGCACTAGAAGGCTGACATTCCCCAAAATTTCATAAGTCCTTTCCCACCCACCTCACAGAAGCCCCCGTCCAAGTTTCACACCCCACGTTTCATGTCTGGTTCGCAATAAAATGTTTGTTTCTCTCCATTACTGTTTCAGTCAGGTTCTTTTGAGGGAGAGTCTGTCTGGAGGGGGGGAAGGGGCTTGGTAATTGGGCAGGACAGTGACCTTTAGCAGGGTACAGAGGCGGTGTCAGGTCCAGCATCAGGACACATACACAGTGCAGTCACTGGTTACCCTGGTCAGTCTGGGAGGTGTTTTTCATGTTCTCCATTGAAATAACCAGTCCACCAGTGCGGAGCCTGTCATTCCGGGAGTTTAGAAGCATCATTTGCATCAGAACACTGAACCCGCCCCCCGCCACAGTCTGCGTCCCCGGTTTAAAATATTCCCGCGAAAACAGCAATACAGACAACGGTGTTCATTAACAAAATCGAAATGATTTTATTTTTTGGGAAGGGGAAGGGGGTGAAGGGGGTATGTAACTGGAGAGGATAGTCAAAATGAACTGGGCAAAGAAACGGGGGCAGGTTCAGCTTCTCTGTCCACAAACTGAAAAGTCACTGGTTGCCCTGCTCACTCAGGAACCTAGCTTTCAAAGCCTCCCGGATGCACAGGGCGTCCCGCTGGGATCTTCTAATGGCCCGGCTGTCTGGCTGGACGTAATCAGCAGCCAGGCTATTTGCCTCTAGCTCCCACCCCGCCATAAAGGTCTCCCCCTTGCTCTCACATAGATTGTGGAGCACACAGCAAGCTGCAATAACGATGGGGATATTGGTTTCACTGAGATCACAGCGAGTGAGTAAGCTTCTCCATCTCCCTTTGAGACGGCCAAAAGCACACTCCACCACCATTCTGCACTTGCTGAGACGGTAGTTGAACAGTTCTTTTTCTGTGTCCAGGGCGCCAGTATAGGGCTTCATGAGCCAGGGCATTAGCGGGTAGGCTGGGTCCCCGAGGATGACTGTAGGCATCTCCACATCCCCAAGAGTTATTTTGTGGTCTGGGAAGTAAATACCTTCCTGCAGCCGTCTAAACAGACCAGAGTTCCTGAACACACGAGCGTCATGAACCTTGCCCGGCCATCCGACGTAGATGTTTGTAAACCGTCCCCGATGGTCCACCAGTGCTTGCAGCACCATTGAAAAGTAGCCCTTTCTATTGATGTACTGGCTGGCCTGGTGGTCCGGTCCCAGGATAGGGATGTGAGTCCCATCGATAGCCCCTCCGCAGTTTGGAAATCCCATCGCGGCAAAGCCATCTATGATGACCTGCGCGTTTCCCAGGGTCACTACCTTTGGGAGCAGTACCTTCACGATTGCCTTGGCTACTTGCATGACAACAACCCCCACGGTAGATTTGCCCACACCAAAGTGGTTCGCGACTGACCGGTAGCTGTCCGGCGTTGCAAGCTTCCAGAGGGCTATGGCCACTCGCTTCTGGACAGTGAGGGCTGCTCGCATGCGGGTGTCCTTGCGCTTCAGGGCAGGGGACAGCAACTCACAAAGTTCGAGGAAAGTCCCCTTCCGCATGCGAAAGTTTCGCAGCCACTGGGATTCATCCCAGACCTGAAGCACTATACGGTCCCACCAGTCCGTGCTTGTTTCCCGGGCCCAGAATCGCCGTTCAACAAAATCCACATGCCCCATTGCCACCGTGATGTCCTGGGCGCTGGGGCTCGTGGTTTCTGACAGCTCTGTGCCACTCTCCGACTTCAGGCTCTCACGGCGGTGCCGTAGCCTCCTCGCCCGATTTCTCTGCATCTGCCTCAGGGAAAGGTGTATGATAAGCTGCGAGGTGTTGAGAACGGCCACAAGTGCAGCGATGGTCGCAGCGTGATCCATGATCGCAGTGCTGTGGCGTCCGCGCTGTCACTGACCAGAAAAGTGCGCGAACTGATTTCCCGCCGGCGCTTTCATGGAGGGAGGGAGGGCGTTAGTGACGGACGGATGACGACAAATTTTTTTTACCCAGAAGGCATTGGCGGCTCGACCCAGAATTCCGATGGGCAGCGGGGACTGCGGGAACTGTGGGATAGCTGCCCACAGTGCACCGCTTCCAATATCGACGCTCGCCCCGTTAGTGTGGACTCACAAAGTCGAATTACTGTCCTTAGTGTGTCCTTAGTGTGGACACACACGTTCGACTTTGCAATATCGATTCCACATATTCGATTTAAGTAAAATCGAATTACCCTCGTAGTGTAGACATACCCTTAGAGAAGTTAGATGTCTTCAAGTCATCAGGGTCTGATGAAATACATCGTAGAATACTCAAGTATCTGACTGAGGAGATCTCTAAGCCATTAGCGATTATCTTCAAAAAGTCATGGAAGATGGGAGAGATTCCAGAGGACTGAAAAAGGGCACTATGTTTGCCCATCTATAGAAAGGGGAATAAGGACAACCTGGGGAATTACAAATCAGTCAGCTTAACTTCAGTACTAAGAAGGATAATGAAGCAAATAATTAAGCAATCAGTTTGCAGACCCCTAGAAGATAATAAGGAGCTAAGTAACAGTCAGCATGGATTTAAAGAATAAATCATATCAAACCAACCTAATAGCTTTCTTTGACAGAGAACCAAGCCATGTGGATGGGGGGAAGTGGTAGACGTGGTATATCTTGACTTTAGTAAAGATTTTGATACTGTCACGCATGACCTTCTCATAAACAAACTAGGGAAATACAGTTTAGATGGGAGCTACTATAAGGTGGATGCATAACTGTTTGGAAAACCATTCCCAGAAAGTAGTTATCAGTTGTTCACAGTCAAGCTGGAAGGGCATATCAAGTGGGGTCCTGCAGGGATCAGTTCTCGGTCCGGTTCCGTTCAGTATCTTCATCAGTGATTTACATAATGGCATAGAGCAGGGGTAGGCAACCTATGGCACGGGTGCCGAAGGCGGCACACGAGCTGATTTTCAGTGGCACTCACACTGCCCGGATCCTGGCCAATTTTAAATGAAGCTTCTTAAACATTTTTAAAACCTTATTTACTTTACATACAACAATAATTTAGTTATGTATTATAGACTTATAGAAAGAGACCTTTTAAAAACCTTAAAATGTATTACTGGCACGCGAAACCTTAAATTAAAGTGAATAAATGAAGACTTGGCACACCACTTATGAAAGGTTGCTGACCCCTGGCATAGAGTGTACACTTAAAGTTTGTGGACGATACCTAGCTGAGAGGGGTAGGATTAAAATTCGGAATGATCTGGAGAAATGGTCTGAAGTAAATAGGATGAAATTCAATAAGGACAAAGGTGTGTGTGTATGTGTGTGTATGTATGTATGTATATCTGTATAGCACAATGGGGACTCTAGGGTACAATTGTAATACAAATAACTTAATTATGCTGCTAATCTCACTGTAAGCATTTGCAGGTTCCTTTTAAGGGCCTAAATCTTTTGCCGGTTTTGACACAAACATTTAGACAAAATGCAGCTTCCTTTATCAACTTTTTAGTTGCCTCTAGTTGCTGAAAGTACCTTGGGAATGTCTTCCCCCCTGCCCTGCTAAAATGGGCTCAGGAACAGCACCTTGTTAGAAATCCCAGCATCCTCCCCCTTCCTGGCAGTTGTGGGAGAAAAGGTAGACTTCCTTCTAGATTATTATCCTTGGACCTCGCTATTCTCAGTATGATCTGTATCCACCTCTGACCTTGTGGGTTCAATCCTTCAGCTAGCATATACCTGATACATCTTTGAAGTCCTAGTTTAATGTTTGCTCTGAAATGAGAATTGCTATGGATAATTTATAGCTGGTAATCTAACTGTATTTAATTTTGTTCCCTTTAGACATTCCTGACATTGTGAATGGCAAACATCTTAATATTTTCAGGTGAGTTTCTTTTTGTTGTATTTAATTATTTGTGGTCTGGATGTGCCCAACTGGACATCTCTTGAAATGGCATGGCATGTCTCACCATTTTTTTTTTTTTTTTTTTTCGGGTAAAAAAAAGCCAGCCAGCCAACCAACCAACCAACCAACCCAGCATTCTACAAGAAGCAGTTGGTGGAGGACAGTGTTCTCTTGTTTGAAAGGAAACTGATGACATATTATTAGTGTACTCAATATTTTGCTGTTCTAGTTTTTTTCTTAGCTACTGCAGCCTAAAAATTGTAACTTACTAGCTAGTAACAATCAATTATTGAAATATTATAAGGTTTAAAGTGCTGAGACTGTTAGAATTGAGTTCATATAACTTCAATGGCTTCTTTTTTTGGATATTTTCAAACAAACTTTTAATGTGGGAAATTCTCGGCCTATATTTTAGCAATTCTTATAGCAAATAACCTTGGAGCATGCTCCGTTGAGAGATTCAGGGGATCAGAGTTATGGTGCTGAGCTTGATTCTTTTCTCCATGCATCAGCAAAGGCTCAGTAGGGTGCACTATAGAGTTAGCATGTTCCTTTCCTGAAGAAGAAAACGTACTTTGAATGTCATTTTGGGAGACTCTTCTGGCCCCAGAGAGACCAACATCCAGTTCTTAACCGGGAGGACAGGCCAATATATAGGCTCAAGGCACAACGTTTAATAGTAAATGGGAAGATATACGAGCACCACTCCTCCCTGCCACATACACTCTCCTCCCTTCCCCCCCAAAAGTCTAAATAGTTATCTCCATCTCATTCATCCTATCATGCAATAGTTTGAGTATTGCATTGTTTAGATATACCCTTAAGTAACCAATATGAGTTAGGGCACAGTTTTATCTTCCGATGGGTGCATCATACAAACATGCATCTGACGAAGTGGGTATTCACCCACGGAAGCTTATGCTCCAATATGTCTGTTAGTCTATAAGGTGCCACAGGACTCTTGGTCGCTTTTTATAGATCCAGACTAACACGGCTACCCCTCTGATACTTCATACAAACTAGATATAGTAAAATCAGTAGTATTGCATGTGTACACCAGATGCAGTTGTTGATTCTTCCCTTTAAGATTTCAATGTGATTTCCAAGATTTGCGTTGCCATGGAATGCACAGCCATAAAATATCATTCCTGCCAACAACTTAGAAGACATTGTAAAATGATTAGACATTTATATGGATGAGACCTGGCTCAGACAGTTAATTAAAGGAGATACAACTTTTTTTTTTTTTTTTTTTTTTTTTTTTTTTTGAGGGCTAACACATTTCAAAGCATGAGCCAGCCACTAAGTCATGGAGACTGGAAAGAAACTTTCTGTATGGACAGGTGTCATGGTTACAGGTGAAACTGTGGTTTTTGTCCCTCTTGAGAGCACCCCTTAGATCACAGGCCTGGCTTCCACGTCATGCTCTGGGTGGAAGCATACAGTTCAACAATTCTGGGACTGGATCTCTATGCTGCAGCCACCTACCCTGTTTCCTAACTGTGTTAATGTGACAGGCTCTACTGGGTTTGGCACCTGTAAAAGTTTCCCTTCTGGAGCTTGTGACAATATAAGTGTGCAGTGACAGAAACAGCATCTTCAAAACAAAACATCATTTATTCTTTCATCCTAAGGTATGGAGCTTGCAGAGCAAAAGGTTAGAAAAACAGAGTCCTGATACCTATTTTTCTATACCTACATCTTAATCTTTCTTTGCAAGTATTTGCAAGTTCCATTCAGTCCAGTTAACTCCTGTCTCTGGTGAGAACCAGACTGTCCTGCTCGTAGCATGTTCTCTTTCAGTGTGTCTCTTAGCTCTCACTGACACTCCCTGGGCAGCCTCCCCTTCCTCCCAAAGCCATCATTTTAAAGATTTTTAGGATCCCCTTTCATACTAGGCCTAGTCTGGGGGAGAGTAAACTCTTCTTAGCCTAGATGGAGCCAATAAACAATTTCCCTGTTATTTCCTCGAGGATTCTTATCTCTGTCATTGTTTTGCCTTCCTGCTTGATTCCTTTAACAATCCTATTGATTTAACTCTGTGCATTGAGGCAGGAGAATATTACGGACAGCCTGAAGGGCATATGATATTTATAAAAAATACCACACATAAATCCCTCTTTCTCCACAACATGCTATTCTATAATCGGAGTTTCTTGGACCTTCTTTTGATACTGAATACAGGATGGTGGACTAGATGGACCAGTGGTCCAATCTGATATGGTAATTCCTGTGTCCATTTGTAAAATGAAATCCTCAAGGATGGATTTTCAGAGCTGCTGAGCACCTTCAAGTCCTTCTTACTCAGAGCAAGTTACGGGTGCTCAGCATTTTAAATGTTTGTTTAAAAATTCAGCATAATAAACTAGCATTTTCCCATGGCAATGCAAAACCGCAATAATAATCCAGTCAGACTTAAGGCAAACTATACAGTCAAGAGCTACATTTATCTAGGAATAACTATAAGAAATCTTAAGAATTGGGCAATGCAGTGGATTAATTACCACAGCTCAATCTGCTCTGTCCATTAGGCAGAAGGCTTTGGAGGATTTCATCTGTGTGGTAGGAGTTAAATTTAAAGGCACTAAACCTCCAACTGCCATGAGATCAGGAATGCTTAGAGTGACTTACCGTACCATGAAAATTCTGACAGAAGGTTTCTGTTTTATTACCTTGTTAGAACCACAGCAGATTTGTCCATGTAAAAAAAATGAAAAAAAAAAAAATGGCTATTGCCCTTGAGAAAAATCATCCACCAACTGCCTTTAGTATACTCAAACAGCTATAATTTTGAACCTGGGCCTGACGTGATTATTAAATGAGTCCTTCCTCCTTTATGCAGCCTCAAGCCTTTTGAAAGTAATGATTCAGTTCGTGAATTTAAATTACACATGCATTGTATCTCCTTGGAATCACTCATACAACATTTTAACATTTCTCATAGATCATAATGAACTACTGTTTTCCAGTAGGTGGAATATTAGCTCTGCACAGTGAGCACCCAAATGGGGAAGTTGATCCAACTGCACTCATTACGTTGCACAAAAGGAGTTAAATCTGTCAAATCTAAAACCAACTGGTTCATAGTCAGAAAGGTACAGAATAGAAATTGACAGTGGGAGTAGAATGAGTAATATATGTAACTTACATTTTGTCAGCGTCTCTTATCCCACAGAATCCTAAAGCATTTTACAAACTAGATAGATATGTGAATCACTTAATTCATCACTGAAAGCAACCAGATGTGCGTTGAAAAGTCATAACGGTTTTAATTGCGCTCGGCAGCTGTATACAAGTTCAGGACAGGAAATGAAGAACATTGTATCTAAGTGAAACTGCAGGGGGGATTTAAATTGATAGTGTAAGTTAGTAAGGCAGACTTGCTTGACTTTAACATTTTCTCAGGGGAGCTGGATTAACACTGCTATTCTTTAAAAAAGTTTCTTGATTTATGCCTCATCAAAAAGACAGCATCAGCGTCCCCTCATATGACATGCTGGGGCACTGGGCAAGTACTGACTGTCAGGGAAGAATGTCACTGCTATAAATGGCTAACATCACTTCCCGAAGAACCTTATCAAAATACAGACCAGACCTTTCTTGGCTGAGTTCTTACCATGTTTCAGTCCAATGCTGTATAGATGTGTAAACACACTGCAATTAGTGTGGTATACAGCAGCATGCATTTTAACAAACTTTAATCTTCCCTTATACAGTCAGTACTAGGTTTGTTAACCCTTTAAGCACTGACTTCTCCTGAGCATCCCCATCTGCTTATTTTTAACCCAGCACCCCACTCCTGCTAATCATATACACCTTCTCCTTGCCTGTTGCTTTCTTATCTCACAGTTGGATAGTTGCTGGCTTGGGGTTCTTTTTTTAGATTCCCCTGCTGATCTGCTATCCCAGCTGACAAGTACCCCCCTTACAGATTTCAGCATGAGTGTAGAACAAGTGGGAGGAAGATGTATCATTTGTAGTAGGCACCTGCTTGTGCACGCATGAACCAGTAAAGGTTTGCAGAGGACAGATCACATTGGGACTGATGTCAGGCTAAGGCTAATGCAGCAAATCCTTTCTGGTTCCAGTGCCTCTACCTGACCTACCTGAAAACCCTTCTCAGTAACCAACAGTAGTTAATTTTTCTGGGTTCTGAATTTTAAACATTAATTATTTTCTGTTATATCTTATTTTCTTTAAGAGAATGGGATGGCGATCTGAAGAAACTGCCAAACATTAAAATGAGAAAAGTCTCTACTAAAGATGCTGTTTGCAGTAGGACAGAGGTGGCAAATGGGGAAGCTGAAGAGGAATTAGATGCAGCAAAAGACACAGACTAATGAGCACCAGCCAATACAAAAGGTGAAACAGCTGAAAGGGACTGCCAGGAACCTATTTGAACTATCACTGGAAGCAAGAATAAAGCTGGTATTTTCAATTATATTTGAGAAGACTTGGCTGGTTGAATATTTGATTAGTTGGTTGTGCTTCACCCTGGCCTTAAGTTATGTAGTGAAATTTCAGCAAGCAGCATGTTAGATTCAGTGTGGTGCTTACTTAGAGAAAAACGAATGAAGGCTTTAAAATCTAAAACTTTCAAAAAATCTCCATTTTCCCCCTACCTCTTCCACCCTAGCTTGTCTTGAGAGTGCAAGCCCCTGGGTATGGGTTGGTGGGGAATAGTTATCACTAGCCTAATGGCTGTGGGACAGTGCACTCTCTGTGACTCACCTGTTTTGGCAAATGTCATGGGGAGGGGGGGCTGGATTTTCTTGGTAGTGTCCACTCATTGGATGATGATAATAGGAACATAAATGTCATTTAATTTTGATAAGTAGGTAAGATACTGTTATACAGCAGACTACCTTTACCCATAACTTGGTCCATTACCTGTGGCCTCTAAGTTAAGATAAAATGGTACTAAATATGTGGCTTAAATCTATCCCCATAGCCACCATCTCCAGATTTTCTTTACTGAGCCAGCAACCAGGCCCTCAGCAAATTGTGCATTTGCAGATGGTGGCTGATGCTCAGGTAATGGCTTAGAGAAGCAGGCTTTCATACAGCCTCATGTTAACACACTTGAAAAGAGCATCAAAAATTGGAGGAAGGCTTTTGGAGCCTCCTGTAAAGCATCCCTCCACCTCCCTTTGTGCCTAATTTGGACCCATCTTTCAGGAAAGTCCTTGTCAGACTTGAGAACAAGCAAAAGAGAGAACAGTAGGAAGAATCTCCTTCTCTACCCACTTCCTTTAAGCGCACAGGCCCTGGCCTGTAACTAAGAAAAGTATGTCAACCTAGAAGCATAGTGTCCCATTTAGTGATAAGGGATATCCATAACTTGATCATCAGAAGGGTTCCTAGATCTACAACTGCATGAACTCAAGAAAAGCCTTTAACTCTAGGGCTGTAGAGGCAGAATGTATTTCTGCCACTAAAAGCTATGTGCCTAAATTGACCATTTTCTGATGCTAGGGGTAGCCAGTTAACCATTTTATGTAAGAGATTTTATTGCCTTCATTACAAAGACTGAGTTGATCACTAAGCTGAGACACTGTTGGTTATTTGGTGTGGCTTAGTAAATAAAATACTGGACTGAGGTTCAGGACACCTGGGTTCTCTTCCCAGCTTTACCACTGGCCTACTGGGTGACCCTGGTAAGTTACTTCCCTGTGTCTCAGTTTGCCTATCTGTAAAATGAGGATGATGAGGCTTATTTCCCTTGTAAAGCACTTTGAGATTGACAGATGAAAAGTGATGTGTAAGAGGTAAGTGATAGTATTTGTAGCATTGCTAGCACCTTTACATTTACAGAGGGAGTAGGGCTGGCTTTGAGGCAGAGCGTGGAAGACCCTAAAATCCTTTCCCCAATGAAGCCTTGAGCTATCAGGGAGGGATAAGGGGAAGTAAAGCGCACCTGGGAAGGAACAGTCTGTGGGGAGGGGATGTCCCCTCAAGGGCTGCCTTTCACATCTTTGCTCAGTTAACCCATCATTCCCTAAGGCTGAGCATCTGAGCATTCTCATTCGTCCGTGCTAAAGATTTTATTGCCTGCTCTACACACCCTGCATTGATTTAACTAGAGATGTGATAACTGATTTAGTTAAACTGGTGCAATGTATGTATAATTGCTCTTAACTCTATTTAAATCTGTCTCATCTGCTTAGCTTGCCTAAAACCTGAACTGATCTCACTGATCTGAATCCCCAATAGACCTGTGTCCACAGAGCAGGTTTGGGGTTTTTTTGGTTTAAAAACCAATTTTAGTTGAATTGGTGTAACTTCCATATGTAAACAAGCTCAATGTTTTACTGTGGCGATAGAATCACTGCCAGAAGTCCTTTTTCTTCCGCATTTTCTTTTAATGGGATGAATAAAAGGGGCAGTAAGCCTTATTCTTCCTGGAATGACTTGAAAGGCTAGTTTGTCATTGTAAAAGATGTGGGGTCCTTAATAGCACTGTGTTAAACTGACATTTGTGTAAACATTTTTTTTAAAATGTATGCTATTTGGAGTCATGGAGAATATTAGATTAGCTGTCTAAGTCTTTCCATGAACAATTCCATTAAAACAAAAGGCAGTATATAAAGCAAATGTATAATCTGTAAAGTTAACTTGACAAAAATTGAGCAGTCTTGAAATAATTTGTAATACTCGCTGCTCACGTTATGCATTTTAAAATAAAAGCGAAACGAGATATAGAAATCAATTTTTTAATTGTAATCTCATGAACCCTGTGTTCCTTTTTGCTATCATGTCGACTTCAGCTTTTTAGACTATTATGTAGGTTACACAGGGAAATGGAAACTTCTCCAGCTAATGAAGAGAAAAATATTTTTTATATTGATTGTAGGCAGAAAAATTACTATAAAATGGCAAGATCTTACATAGGGAACAGATAGGATGACTATCTGACTAATGCTGGCAAAGGCAAATTGTTATCAAGTGTCAGTACAGAAAAATGAGCTGGATTTTATTCTGTCTTGCACATCATCAATTTGTCGAGTAAGTTTTGACTGCAGAATCTTTATATGGTAATGATGGAAGAGAAACTCACGTTGACTTTAAATTTCTAGGTTGAGAATGTTATTGAGAGAGAAAATGAATATAGAATCCCATGATGTCATTTTTATAGTAATCTTTCTGACAATTACTGTGCTTTACAGCCAGCTGGTTTGTTTACTGGATTGAAGAGCCTATTCCTTCTCCGAATGCTATAAGGATGCTTTGATGTTCTGTTGCACTTACATTCTCTTTTAAATGAAAATATATACAGTGACTGCCATTAACATGAAAATTTTGACTTCTGTCTAATTACTCCAGTGTGTTTCTATGTTTAGACATAGATTGCTTTAATATAGGAAATACCGTGGAAATGTTACTTGCAGAAAGTGGTTATAAACTTTGTAATGTTAACCACTGTAGATGGGAGGCGCTCTGTGTTCATAACTAAACTTTATCATACTCTTTTTTAATTAGAAAATTCAAAAGAAGTTCTCTTTTTCAGAATGCTGTGGGTTGATTTTCCCCTCGCCCAAATATCTGAGATTTTTTTTTATTTAGTTTTAGATAATTGATTTTAATGGTGTTTAACTGCAAAGTTTTAAGTGTTACAATGAGTCTTTGTTTTAGCTAGAGGGACTCAAAACAAGTTGTGTACAAAACTTCAAACTAGTGTAAGGGCTGGTCTTTAAATTAATATAGCTCAAATAAGATAGGATGTGAATTTAAAGCAAATGAATGATGCCTCATTAATTCTACGTGTGGACATTTATTCCCGAATGAGTGCTTTATTCAGAATTAATTTAATCAAAGAGGATTAAGCTAATTCTGGAATAAGAGCATCCACCCATGGGGCTAATCAGGGGAAAAGAAACTGCTGCTATGGCATCAGTTAGTAGATGACTAAATTGGTATATTTAAGAAGCTTTCAAAGATAGGGGCCTTTCTTCCTCCCACCCCCCATTCCTACTCATTCATTCAGAGGCATGGAAGCCTCCTGAAGGATCATCTCTAATATACAAAAAGGAGATGGAGGATGGGCCACCTGGTCATGTTTTTTCACATCTTCACCAAGTTTTACAAATTAAATGTGAAGGCCTCCTCTGCCACTGGAGGAAGAGACCTGTATGCTAGTATTCACCCTGTAACTGATGTATTTAAAAAAAGACAGTATCTCATCATTTGTTTCCCATGCTGGTGACACACTGCTTTTGAATATCCCATTGTAATGGATCTGCAGGCTTTCACTGTGAAGAATAGGAAAATTTGCCTTAGCTGGGAATACTTTTCTTCTAGCATGGAAGTCAGCAGATCCAACCCACCCACCACAAGGTTATAGTTCTGAGGGAAACTTCAACTGTTGCCCTCTCCTCCATTTTTTTTTGTCGGGCACATATGTACATATATATCCGCCGCTAATTGGGGTGGAATTTGAAGTTACTCTCCACTAGGAAGAGTTTATATAAATTTGTTGTTCTGCCTAATAACCTCTGAATTAAGGTTTAAAGGAATTACTTCTAGAGCTGCTTTGTAGAGCTTGCTAACTGGGTCTTCAAGAATGTGGCCTCTCCCAGCCTGCTTTGACTGACCTGGTATCTGCCTCCAATGAGCTGCAACTATGAGTAAGACCCATTATAATGGAGCTGCAGACTCTCACTATAAAGGAGATGTTCAGGTAGGTTTTTTAAAAAAAGGTTCCTAATTTGGAGCCTCATAATACCATTTTAGTAAGCTATTCCACAGAGTAGAACTGTACTGTAAGCACCTACACTTAAACTGTTACCTTAAAAATCTATGTATAGTGGTATGAAAATACCCTGTGCAAAGTGTCATGAGGCATATAATAAAACTCTTCTTACAACTTTACAAAACTACTCAGTAGCAAATCCATAGTTAATCAGAGTAACTCTTAATTACCTGTAATTCAAATACTCTGACCAATTTTCTACATAAATGGAACAGCTGTGTCATTCTGTAACTAGTTCATTGTTAGAAATGAACAAATAGAATTACTAAACCAACATTTACATAGAGAGCCTGGACTAAAATACTGGTCTCTCATTCACTGCTCTAAAAACATAGGCTTGTTCCAGTTGAGGTAAAAGAAGCTCTCGGTTATGCTGTCAGCCCTTATTTATATTCTTGAAGCTACATCCAATCAAGAGGGCAACATGCTCATTGAGAATGACCTGGATCACCATGCTATTCCCTATCCTACTACACATGTAATGTGATCTTGTCCAAAATTCTTATTTCTTTTGCAGCTTTAGAAAGATAAGCAGCAAATGTCAAGGTGAGATTGCTAACAGTTCTCAATAAAACCTTGCCCGAGCTTCCCCTCAGACTGGTTTATTCCCAGGGTTGCTCACTGCAGGGTTTCCTGTACCCAGCTGTTTTGCCTCTGAGAGCCATTGAGCTTTTATTGGTTGCTGACCTGGTTCAAGTGAAACCCACCTAATTTTGTTACTAAAGAGAGACTTATAGACAGCATGTCTGGCTTTAGGAACCTCTCACTTTGCTACAACAATTCCTGTGTAAATTTGTTTAAGAACAACCTAATTACTTCAAATTATAGACTATGTACTAGCTCTTAAGGAATTTTAACTATATGGCAAGTTCGAAGGAGTAATAAGTTAGTTTTTGCTTTCTCCAAGAGCTTCAAACAGCACGCAAAGCATCAATTGGAATAAACAAAAAAGTGCTGCTTTAATTCCCATTTCCTCAGTGTAACTATAGAAGAGGCTGCTCCAGAGGTACTGTACACAGCTTACCAAAAGGTATGTGAATTCTCAGGCAAAGTGATCAACCGCACAATCCTAAGATCAAGTTGAAAGTGTATCAGGAAGTACCTAGTGCTGTGGAAGGTAGGGTGGAGTTCTGGTCGTCTCTAAGGTTGCAGCCAAGTTCCAACATAAGCCTTAGTTTAGCTGCCCAAACTTTAGCAAAGGACAATTTTTTTTCTTGAAAAGGTAGGAAAAAAAATTGGCCAATGTGTTCAAGCTAAAAGGTTACCCTTGACAGATACTAGTCAAACATTACTTCAGGTTACCCATAATTCCCTACTTTTAAAATAAATTTAGCTCTGTATTTGTATACAATAGATAAAAATGACTGAACTGCTTCTATTAAACATGTTCATTTCTATTTTAATAAAATGCATTTTTTTTCTGTTTTTACTGGCAAAGTTGAGCATGTAGATCTGTTTAAACTATGAAATTTTCTTTACACTTTGGCAAAGCTGGCTTAGATGTTCTCTCAAGGAGCATTGTAATCCATTGGTCTTGGAGGCAATGGATACCATTTAATGTGAACACCCCTGCTCCAACACTTTAGATGTCATTAGATAATGTCAGACTGCTTTGTTTCAAATAGATTATCCAGAGCATAGTTGTAGCAGCCCATCATATGAAAATGATGGGGCCCATGCTTGCTGGAATTCTGTGCAAAGGGGCTTTTAAAACTTAACCAAAATCTTTTCCTGGGTGCATAGCTTAAGACAATGGGGAGGGGGCAGAAAGATGGAATCCTCCCAACAAATTCAGTTATAATTATGCGTGGAGTTCTGCCTGTGGAGAAAAATGGGATGTGAAAATGTTTTTTCCTGTTGAAGGAATGTCACAAAGCAAACACAAATTTTGCATGTTTGCTTTAACAAAACAAAATAGTTTTTCTTTTGGAAACTTAAATATACTGTATGGTGGTAAGATCATTTCTGCCACTTAAAAATACATATAAAATATGGAAAACTGCAGTGGTTTGGGTCATTTGTTTAATACAAATACAAATTTGTTCTACAACAATTAGCAGTTATATTAATTTTGTTTCCCTTAAGCTCCCACCCCTTTCTTTCAATACATATTCACTCACAAAAAACAACCTTTTTTGGAAAAGAGAATGGGGTTAAACAAGTAACAACTCTTAGTTCCAAGTATTACACGGTGTAAAATATTTTCTTCATAGATGAAGTGTCACTGCAGTGTCCAGATATATAAAAAAGGGCTTGATCCAATGATGGGGAATGTATTGTTGTGGACAGACCAGGAAAATAAACATTTGCTTTCAAACTGTAGCGCTATGTGAAATAGTACCATTGGACTGGGTAAAAATCCTCATCAGACTAACACAAAGGTAAGTGGTGCATTGTCACTAACTGTTTTTAAATGAGTAATTGAAAGCATTAGTTCTGGAAATTGAAACAAATTAAGAAACCAGGAAAGAAGCATTTTGTTTATGTTCCATAATTTCTCACTAGTAATTCTGCAATCCTTATCCAAGCAAAACTGCCACTGAAGTTAAAGGGAGTGTTGCTCAAGCACGAAGGCAGAATTTGCCTTCATATCAGTGCAGTCTACCTGGGACTGACCACAACTACAAAACGGCAGCTCACAATGAGTGTTCATCCCACAGCCTGATCCTGCAGTTCTTAGCCAGTCCAAATTCCACTGAGGTCAGTGGTGTTTTGCCTGAATGAGGACTGCAGTTGATTACTGGGCCTAGGCACTGGGGTTTAGCCACTTATGTATATGTAGGTTTTTACTGATCTTTAACTTCTTCTCAAAATAACATTATTTCATAAAAGAAAAGCATTAAATTACTACTTGCCCGTGAAAAACCGTGTTTTTTGTGGCACAGAATCCTCAAGTGGACTACACTGATTGGGTTCATACAGAACATTAAAACATCTGCCATCCTTGTCTATCAGAGAGTATAAGATGAGGTGTTGTCCAGTACTTACATTCTTGACCCATTTTCATGGGAAGTTATTCATGCAAGCCTGTATCCCTAACACCTCAGTGTAAATAATCTTTTTTGTTTTTTGCTGGAGACAAATCTTATACTACTAGGTAAATGTGGCTTTGAGTAGCTAAATCTCTACCCCAGACCAGAAGAAAGAGCTCTGTGTAAGCTCAAAAGCGTATCTTATAATTGACCAACTTCTGCTGATGAGAGAGACATTACTTCACCGACCTTGTCTCTCTAAAAGCAATCAAGTCAACTGTAACTGACAGAGGGGATGAGAGAGGATTTTAACAGTGCTTAAGGCCCTTCAGTTTTTACCAGTTTAACTGAAACATTCCTGAGTTTTACAAAAAAAATTATTAGGCTTCTAAGATTTTTTTCATCTGAATTTTGGAAGAAGTGGAAGAGACAAGGGCATCTTCTCCTTATGCTGCCGCCTCTGTCTCTTCCACTTCTGGGCCCTGCCAACCTGGCCAGCCCAGTTCGTGAAGCTACCATCTCTGCTTCCGGAGTATGGGAATTACTTGAATACTGGCTTATGTACCATTGTCAATCTCATGCCCAGTACATACACATTTCCAGCTCTACAGAGAACATGGATAAAAGTTAGGGAATTACTTTTCATACCAAAATGGGTTGAAAATAAAAAACTGTATCTGACTACCTTTTGGACGACTAGGGGCGTTCTGAAAGTTAAAGAAAAGAAAAAAACAGGAGCAGTGATATTTACCCCATATTTACTCAAAAAAATTTTTCTGCAGATTTTCAATCTTTTCAGATTTTTGTAACAAACTGATAAATTTCCAGAAAATGTTAAACTAAATAAAAACTGACTCAATAATGCTGTAAGGGATTAAAGGCCTAATCCAAGCCCCTGTAGTCAATGGGAGAATTACAGTTGTGTTCAATGGGCTTTTGAGTAGACACTAAATACTTCACTTTCCCTAAATTCTCTTCAGGGGACAATTTCAGTTGAAGTATATCTCCTAATATCTCCTTTTGAACTGAAACTAAGACTCAATTGCACAGTACTTGCAAGACAACTGCCATTTAATGATGCTTTAAGGTTAGAAAACTCAGGATAATTACATTCTGCAGGGTAGATTCTGCTTGGTACATTACATCCACAAAATGATTGGTTTGATTTCCTGTCCTCCCCCCACATGCACACACCAATTTCCTAAACACAAGATCAAAGAGGGCCCTAGTTTACTGTAGTCCCCAGACTTACTCAAACCAATGCACAGCTACTTCTGGCCACTTTCGCTCTCCTGTCCCAATAATAAACACCACAGCAAATGGAAGTGAATCACAAAATTCTTTATGTAACTCACCTTTGTTGGACATCATTTTATCTACATTAATTTATCTATTGCACTCTTTAATGTTATTCACACTTCAGTTTTACATGAAAATGCTCAAAACACAAAATTAACAACTGAACTGTTGAATCCCTAATCGCTCAGTCTTATCCTGAACAGAGGAGAACTATCCAATCAAGTCAGAACAGGGCGATACTGGCATCTTTTAATAGGTCCAGGTATGCTCTTTTGTGATTACCTTAATTGTTGAAGCATGAACTCTTAAAAAAATTCTGCCTCTGCCCCCCCACACTTTAACTGTCATTCCTAGGGGTGTGAGGGTATAAATTCATTTCATATTCTTTTGTAATGAACTGCATGCTTCAACCTGTAATGCCTCTGATTATACTGTCTTTTTCCATTTTGGAGAAAAACTTTCTATATATCCTTTCTACATATATTGGCAGAGAGTTCATGTTAATTCACCACTTAACAAGTCATTTATTTTACTTTAAGATAAGCAGCACTAAAAGTGTTGTTCCAGATGTAGAGCTAATAATTTTAGCCTTGTGGCTAAATAATACTTGTATTTTATGGGACCAAGGAAGTGTTTGAGGCAATTTGAAGACTACTTGTTGAAATTGCTTATTTTGCAAAAAAAAATAAACACACATCCTCAGCTCACATGGCTGCCAAAACATTCAGGCTCCAATGTAGCCATTCAACAATTACTTTAGAAAGTGAGTGACATGGTGCAGGTCTGTTTACTTTGTTGATTTAAGTTTAATACAAATGACTTTTTAGTAGTGTCACCTTAAAGTGTATTTTTAAGATGCTGATTAGCAAATAGGATGCCTAGTGGTAACAAATAGAAAGTTGTTGATGTTTTCTGTAACAGAACAGTGTTAGCAGGTCTGTTTCCAATTCCTCCTGATCATCCAGTTAAAAAGGTCATTTTGTCATGTCTGTGAGAATTGTTCTCTGTTGTGCTTTCTACACTTCCACTACACCTGGCTGACTGAGAAACTATTTCACAAACGGTCACATTCCATAAGTAATGCATGTTGCTTCACTGTATCCATTTCCCTGGTCAGGGTTTTTTGTTCTTTTATTTAAAATGCATGATTGTTTCTGCTTTCTGTAGTGGCTGTAGTGTAAAAAACACACACATCTTCAGTGAAGAAACAATGCCACCTCTGTCAAACTGGCATGACCTCAGAGGTCATTTCTTCAGTTGATTGCTGAGAGTTTGTACCTGTCTGTGATACTGGCACTACCACAGCATCCTTGATTTCAGAGTTCTGAATGCATGAAGAATTCTTCTCCAGTTTTTTGGCAGTGTCTGGGCAGTTTTGAACAAAGATCACTCGATTGTAAGCCTTCAATCTACGCCACAACTGAATGTAGACTTTACACTGTACGTACATGAAGACTAGGCCTCCAGTGAACCCAATTGCTACGACAACCAGTTTTGTCCAAAATGGCCATTCAAGGACACCTTTCAAACAAACAAGTTACAATTAGTATCATCATAATTTCATCATGTCTTGCTGATTCTTGTCTTTTCTGTAGCCTATACATTCCAGTATTGCATAATGTTGACATATTATTCTTTTCAAAGGTTCCCTAATGCTATTTGAACTGTATGTATACAGTCACACACATGACGTGCAGCTGTTGTTATGGTAGAAGACAGCACCTGTTCCCTTGATCATAGAAACATCTAGCACATTAGGGGATTTTTGGTTTAACAAGGAGTGCAGTATCAGGTCCTAGGACAGAAAGAAAAATGTCTGCTGTTTCTAGTAAGGACAGTTATATGTCCCTTGATTGTACCCATGCCCATAGTATCTATTTTAAGTAGGCAGAATGTTATTATCTAAACTGGAATGGCCAGATCACTGGGCTTTGGCCCTACTACTGAAATAAATAAGCTTCTTTTTTTTTAAACACATTTGAAGTTTGATGGCTGGTCTACAAGGAGACTCAAGTGTGCCACAAGCCAGGGTATGTAAAGTGTACTGGTCTGCTACACACTAAGTTCCTGCGTGGACCCTGCTACCATGCACAAAGTTTCGTAATGAGTGGTAGCAAGGTCCACATGGCCACTTGGTGCGCTGTAGTTTTACATCCTAGTTTGCGGCATACTAATGGTCTGTAAATATACCTGGCACACCCTATTTTATACCTCATTGATGTTCCCCTGGCATGGTGCTGTAGCATTGGTTCAGTAGCAAATTAGTGGGAAGAAATCAACAGCACCAGAGCTTTTTTTTTTTTCCTTCTCTAAATCAAT